TTCTCGTCCAACATCAGTGTCTGACCTCACAAATGCGCTTCTGGAAGAATGGTCAGAAATTCCCATAAACGCACTCCTAAACCTTGTGGAAAGCCTTCCCAGAAGAGTTGAAGCGGTTATAGCTGCAAAGGGTGGGCCGACTTCATATTAAACCCTATGGATTAAGAATGGGCTGTCACTCAACTTCATATGTGTGTGAAGGCAGACGACCGAGTACTTTTGGCAGTCTAGTGTATATATTGCAGACTTCTCTTCATCTTGATGGGCATTATTTCTGTATGCTGACTTATGCTTATAGCAAGTGGCTCTATAAGAATCACAAACAAATATGGGGAAAGACAACAGCCTTGACGAGTTCCTCTGAATACTGAAAAAGGAGAAGAAATATTTTGATTGGAAATAACTGATGCTGTTGGTTGTTTATACATAATTTGTATCCACTGCAGGAAAATAGGTCCAAACCCAAATTTCTCTAAGACATACATCATATATGGCCACTCAATCTGATCAAAAGCACGTTGTGCATCGAGAGAAATGATAACAGCTTCCGTCTCATGCTTGGCGTAGAGAATGTTAAACAGGCAACGGAGATTGAAGAAGGTGCGTCTACCCGGCATGAAACCTGACTGGTCAGGATGTACAATTGAGCCTATGTGATCTTTTAACCTATTCGCAAGTAATTTCCCTAGCAGTTGGTCTCTATAGGTAATAAGGAAATAGGTCAATAGGATGAGATTAATAAAGGTTTCCGACCTGGGTTTGCGATCAGAGCAATATTGGCTCTGTACAATGTTGGAGGAAGATTAGCTGTTTCCAATGAATGCCGAAACATGCGAAGTAGTAATGGACAAACTTCTTTGCTATATTTTTTATAAAATTGTAAATCCATCTGGACCTGGGGCTTTATTGTTTCAAAATGAAAAAATGGCTGCATATATCTCCTCCAGCATTATGTCTGCATCTAAAAAATCTAGACCCTTCACTCAGTTTTGGAACACTAAACTAAGAGAAAAAACTGTTTGTGTCACTTAGCCCACCTTTGCACTGTGATTTATACATTTCTGTGTAAAAATCAGCAAAACGCTGATTTACTGCTAAGTCAAGATAGAGCCATTGCTCGATTTTATGCGATGTATGGCTCATGCAGATTGGGTTTTCCTCAACTGGTGGGCTAATAGTTTGTGAGGTTTGTCACGTATTTCGAAGTCTTTTTGTTTGACCTGTTGAAGAAATTTAAGAACATCTTTAGAGATAATCTGATTATATTCTTATTTTAGTTTCATTATATTATTCAGTATGCTAGTTTTTTTAGTTGCTCTGTATGTTTCTTCTAATTTAGTTAATTTGTCATTAATTTCCTTTAATTTGGCCTTTACTTGTTTTCTTTGGAGGAGATTAACTTTGAGTCTAGAAGAAAATAATCTATCCTAGAGTAGGATTTATGGACAGGGGAAAAGAAGGGGTAGTGTCTGTCTGATGGACGAAGCAGTCTCCATATATCTACTGTGTTTAAGCTATCCATATATTTGCTCAACACTGTATCTTGATTTTGATGTATGAATTTGGCTTGGTTGTCTGTCTAATACAGGGTCAAGGACACAGTTAAAATCTCCACCAATAACTACATTACTCTGTGATAAATCAGGAATTACAGCAGATAATTTCTGGAAGAATGCTGGGTCGTCAAAATTCGGACCATAAATGTTGACGGTCGTAACAGGTGTCAAGTTAATAGTCCCACACACTATAACGTATCTACCATTCTGGTCTGTAATAGTTTCCTTGTGTCTAAAAGGGGTGTTTTTGTTTATGATTATAGCCACTCCTCTTGCCTTCATGCTGAAATTTGACTGATATACATATGATGCCCGGGTTGGACAAAGCATCCTATGTGCTGTTTTTTTAATATGTGTTTCTTGGAGAAAACATGTGTCTGGTTTTAAGAATTTTAAATGTGAATAAACTTGGCCTCGTTTTACTGGGCTGTTCAAACCCCATACATTCCAGCTTACAAATCTTGCGAGCCTACTGCCATACTTGGCGTGCTGGCTATGTAATGTATGAGTATTTCCTGCCATGCAATCGTAAAGACACCTTTAACTGTACAACTAAACCTCGTTAACCCAAGAACAAATACGAGAACATTTTCAACCTCCCTTTCCCAAACAACCTCCCCACTTCCCTGTCTTAACTAAACTACACCTTAATTAACGCCAGCAATGAAGTAAATCGTATGTGCCCCTTCTTATGAGCTAAGTTACGTCAAGAAAAAGTCTGTCTCCTTCTTGTGAAAATACAAGTGAAACTTAAGTCCTCACCTTTTAGGTGAAACTGAATTCAGTCTGAAACCACGTTAAACTTCAAAGTAGTGCTGTACAGTCTGTCTTTCTTTCTTTACCGTTTCTCCGTGTTTGCGCATTAGTAGGCTCACCGGTCTTTAACCTTCCTACGAAGGAAATTCTCTGCCTCTGCTGGTGTAGCAAAGGTTAAGGTGATGTCTCCTGCAGTTACAATGAACCTCGCAGGATGTTGAAAACCACATCTTATGACCCTTTCACTGCATTTCCTCATGATTTTGTGGAATGCTTGCCTTTTTCTGATGATGTCGGAGGCCAGATCCTGATAGATAGACACCCGGGATCCCTTGTAGTGGAGCTGTTTCTTTTGTCTAGCCAAACATAGCACAAGTTCTTTGACTTGATAGTGATGGAGCCAGGCTATGCTAGGCCGTGCCCTACCCTCGATGGCCGGCTGCAGGCTCCTGTGTGCGTGGTTGACCTGAATTGGCTTGCTGAAATGCTCGTTTCCCAGAATTTCAGGGATTAATCTGGCAACAAATTCTGTCAGTCTACCGTTCTCCTCCTTCTCTTTTATACCGAGAATTCTAATATTTTGCTGACGGGAGTGTGACTCCTCCAACTTAGCCTGCAGCTGGGATGCATCTTTTTGTAGCGCCGCACACGTGTGCTCTAATTCCTCAGTTCTTTTTTCATGCTCCATTGAAGCCTCTTCTGTTGTTTTCATCTGCACTGTGATATCTGCCAGGGCTTTATTCTGATTTGAGAGCGATGCAGCAATTTCTGCACGTTTGTTGTTCACGTTGCTACTAAGTGAGCCGATAGCAGCCATGAGGTCATCATTGGTAGCTGAGCCGCTAGCATTGCTAGCTTCTTCATCTGAAGCCGACCCTAATGCGGCATTGCTGTTGTCATCGTTTTCACCTGTTTTGTCGTTTTTCTTGACTTTGTTTGGTTTCGTCATGACTTATAGAATCTATCTGACATCAAGTTTCGGCCTTTTTGTCTGTAAAAAAAAAAATGAAGGTGAGGGTAAATTGAGAGAAGGAGTACGGAGCTTCTGGAAACACGTCTACTCCATCTAACGCTACCGGAAGTCCCCCACTAAACTATTATTGATTACAGCTTGAAGAATGGCCAAAAAATTTAAGATGTTTGAAAGCTGTGAAATGTCCCTTTCCTAATTAGACTTGATTTAAGATTTTGAATTGTTCTGTTTTGTTGTCATACAAAGCTTTTGTTCTATACGACTAAAGATGGAAGAGCACAAGCTAAGAAAATACTGAAGCAAATTGGAATTTCATTAAACATTTATTGCTATTCCAATAAAAATGGCACAGCCTTGTGGACAGCCTGTGCTGAGAGTGCGAGTGGGAGAAGTGTGGTTTCCCATCCTAACAGACTGAGGCCTGAGGAAATCTTAAATCCAGCTGCAGACTGTGTGACTGATTCCTAGGGTCTTGAGCTTGGAAACAAGTCTAGAGGGGATAATTGTGTTTAATGCTGAACTAAAATCAATGAACAGCACTCTTACCTAAGTGTTTTTGTTCTCCAGATCATTCAATGCAATGTGCATTTCCAGGTAGATCGCCTCTTCGGTAGATTTGTTCAGATGATAGGTGAACTCATGAGAACTCAAGGGAGACAATTTTTAACACGAGTGAAGACCAGTCTTTCAAAGCACTTTATTATGATGGATGTGAGTGCAACTAGGCAATAGTCATTGAGACATGTGATGTTAGGTTTCTTTGGTATGGGGATGATGGTTGTGACTTTGAAGCAGGTAGGAACAGCAGACTGCGCAAGGGAACTTGGTCGACTTTGAAGGTGGCAGAGAATGAGATGAGTTCAACTGAGAAGGAGGCATCTGTGGCCGATGAGCTGGTGACTTTGCTCTTGTAGTCAGTCCCCGCCTGGATTCCCTGCCACATGCGCCAAGTGTCTGAGTTTGAACTTACGGGCTGCCAAAAATGCATGCATCTGTCCCATGTTTGTTCACATCTGCCTGAGAGCCTGTGGTGCCTGATGTTCTGAACATGTCCCAGTCTGTGCATGCAGCTGTCCTGTAGTGTTGATTTTGCACCTTCTGGCCACAGGCGCACTATTGGTACTGCACCCTTAAACCATTTCAAGTGCTGCCAGTACATTGGTTTCATGAGCAGTGAGATATGGTCTCTTTTTCCTGATAGGCAGAGTACTACTGTAAGCATCCTGCATGTTTGTATAAACATGATCTAGTGTGCTTCTCTGTCAGGTCACACAGAACACATGCTAGTTGAATCTGGAGAGGACTGTTCTGAGATCTGTCTCATCATTGAAAATGCCACATTAGTGCAGAAAGTAATGAAGCAAAAAGTGTAATAATTTATTTTTAAATGTAATGGGATAAGTAAAAATAATTTAAAAAGTAAATACTTCAATAAAGTACAGAGACTTGAAAAATTTACTTTAGTATCGTAACAAAGTACATGTATTTTATTGCTGGTCGCCATGGCATAATAGCTAATAAGATGTGCAACTTAGGAAACAATGTTATTTCACAGTGAGCTGATGTAATAAGCATGACAGCCGCACAGAAAAAGTGTTGTGTCCAAGGAGTAACTATTTTAATTTAGCTTAATCATTTAAATAAAATGTATATCAAGTTAAAATTAAGGAAGGAAGGACTTAAGTGATTAAGCTTTATTCCTCTCTCTTTGGCAGTATGGAGATGTACTTCCCTCAGACAGACTCCTGGATTGGGCTGGCCCCACTCAATGTGCCCCGCTGTGAGTTTGGAGTTGCCGTGCTGGACCAGAAGGTGTATGTTGTGGGCGGCATTGCCACACACATGCGACAGGGTATCAGCTACAGACGCCATGAGAGCACAGTGGAGAAATGGGACCCAGACAGCAACACCTGGTCCTCAGTGGAGCGGATGGCGGAGTGTAGGAGCACGCTAGGAGTTGTGGTGTTGGCAGGGGAGCTATATGCACTTGGGGGATATGATGGCCAATATTATCTTCAGTCAGTGGAGAAATATGTAACCAAGGTGAAAGAGTGGCAGCCGGTGGCACCCATGACTAAATCACGCAGTTGTTTTGCCACTGCAGTACTAGATGGTATGATTTATGCCATTGGGGGCTACGGACCTGCTCACATGAACAGGTAAGCTGAATACTTGAAGATTGCAACACATGCTTTCTGTATGGGTTTGTTTGACATGTATCGATTAGATTAGGTGATAATCTATAATCGGTTAGATAGGTTATACCGTTAATGAGAGGTCCAGCATTTTTTTCTTCCAAAATAATCTAGTGTTTTTAAAAGATTTTGCATTCTTTTCAAATGTAAGACCTAATACATTCAAAACCAAGAGAAATGAACAGGCTGCTGTCACATATTAGAGTGATCTGAAATCGTCACATATTCATATTCTTATAAAATGGTTATTTCACATAAGTAGTCCAATAGAACAAAAGATGTAATTTCAGTCTCACTGTGCACATATCCAAAAAAAAAGAAAAAAATAGGCTCCACTGCAGTATTTGAAAATTAAAAAATTGAAAATTAAAACTTAAAATATAACTGCTGGCCAAATCATGAGAGTTCAATCAAATTTGATCCTAAGCAGAAATTTAACACACAATAAAATAATCATCAAGTAGGCTAAAAAAAACAAAACATTTAGTCCAGAATGTCGCATTATGCCCATACTAATGAACTGATTTAATTCTAGGATTAATTGTCAGAGTAGCATTTTCTCGCCTAAATTGTGCAGCTGTGTTTTCATAAATAGCAGGTCAGACATGGTAGTGGTTGAAAACATTGCCCATTAGTGTCATGAATGAGGTAGAGACAGCTTCTAAACAAACGCAGTCCAAATGCCAGCAAATAGGCTGCTGGGAGTCAAAACCAGAACAGAGTAAACTTAAGTAAAATCTTTGCACAAAATAGCAAAAATGAAAAATCTGTTACTAAATGAACTTCATGCAGCATAAAAACAACATTTAAAATATACAGTGCACAGAGCGGTCAGACAGAAAACAGTAGTTTAATCCATTTTAAATACACATTAAATAGTTCTTTTAAAAAATATATGAAAAATATGAAATTAAAACCTCCCCACAATCAAGCACATAAGAAAATTTAAGATTATATGACGTGATAATTCTGATAAGCACCTGTGTTTAGCTTGTATCTGAGTAGCCTATCTAATGTTTTATCTCATTCTCATTATTATAATTATTATTAATCTTTATTTTTGCAAAGACTTTTTTTGTCTGTTACCGTAAAGACTGGTTCATTAAGTCTTGCGTACATCAGTTATGTTATTAGTTGTAGTACGAACACAAAGGCTATGATTTCTAAAGTTATCCAACAACAAAGTGCAAAGGTTTGCAGGGAAATCCACTGACTTTTGAAAATTGTCATTAAATGATTAAGATGTTAACAGTGATTCCAATGCTTCATTACTAAGTCAGAAAAGCGGTGATGATGGGAACAAGGGGTTGTATTACAGAAACATCCTATCTCTGAAATCTTATCTGTTTAGTAGGGCTGGACGATTAATCGAAAAGTAATTGAAACCGACATTCAGAACCTCTACCCGACATAATCTTGCCCATCTCGGATTATTTTGAATTTTTTTTTTCTTTTTTTAATTCTATTAACCCTTTCCCCACTCTGTGTTTATGTACTGTCCCCTTAAAAATATACTACCGTGCATGTAGTCATGACTCCGCCATGTCCAGTCTGCGACATGGAAGCTAGAGCTATGTTCACACAGCAGTTTAAAGTGTCCCGAATCAGATTTTCTCACCAAATCAATTTTTTTTTTTGTTTGGCTGTTCACAACACCTTTTAAATGTGACCTGTATGTGGCATCACGTTGCTTCTCTTAATTTTACTAACTACATATAATTTTAATAACATTTTTTTTAATTTAAAGACTCTCTGCAAACATTTTTTTAAATACTTTTCTTGGATGCCTTGTGGAGGCTTTCAGTACAAAAAGTAATGCGTGAGGTGCTTTGTATTTGCTTAGTTTTGTATGGCCCCATCTGGCTCCACTAGATGTCACTGCGTCATATATATATACACAATTCTTTTTTCTACACAACTAACATTGTTGCACATTCATTACATATGACAATGGTAGCATTGTCTGAAACGTTCCAAATATTTTCCTGTACCTGTTGTGAAAATGCCAGTAGCCTACCTATTTCTCCTAGCAGTCTTTGTTTGGTGAGCGTGGGCCTGGACCATCAGCGTTCATCTAACCAAGTGAGCAGTTGCAAACACTGCGCATGTTCAACACGCTTTTAATAACCAGCTGTGGGGCACAAATTATTAAAAAAATAATAAATTTACATACATCCAGATGTTAAACATCATTTACAGCATGGTTGTTGCTATGCAGCTAGCCACGTTCCTCATCAGTTGTGGTAGCCACTCCTAATGGCAAGGCAATATAATGAGTCAAGTTGAAAATGTAAAAAAGTATAATTTGGTACCCTGCCATTAGAGCAGAAATTAGAGATTAAACATTTGGGACCACACCAGCCAGAGGATTTCAACATCATTCAGTCTGGAAAGGACAAAAGCATGGCTAGCTGTGAGGGTAGGTAAAAACACTCTTCTGCTGTCCTTGCCTGCCCTTTTATGCGCTTGCTATGCTGCCAGTTGAATTCATTCATGGATTGGTGGACTTTGAGAGAAAGCTATTTGTCATGGGTGAGTCATTTTGCTTTATTACGAGGTGTGTTATTCATAGGCCTGTTCTGTAATGCAATGCTGTATAACAAGGTTTTGTGAGATCTAATGCTGTTATCCTATCACTCGTATTCCTATCTCCACTTCCGCTATCTACTGCGCCATGTTACGTTATTTTGTGAATGTGTGATTTCACTGATGGAGTGCGTTTGTGTTTGAATTAGGTTTGTGTATAGTTTCACTAACGAGTTGACTGCTGCTTTCTGGCTTTCTGTGCCAAAGACGCCACTGTGTACATCACACATGAGCTTAAACCTATCATGGTCAAATATACTAAAATACGCTAATGAGAGAATTACTATATGGTGACAGGAAGCTTGCTTACAGCTACAGAATGTGCCTGTACTAGCGTAGCTTACTTGTTTGAAATGTTAGGATTGTGTAGTAAGCTACTTTTATCTAAAATGTTAGATAAATGATGTGTTTAAAATTATGACGTCTAATATTCCACATTTATCTAATAAGCTGTCAAACATGGTGTTCTGGTAGCAGGTAGCATGCTACTACAGTAACTTAGGACCGAAGCTATAACAAAAGAACAGTTCCTAAGTTCATAATCTTATTCTAACTCCAGACAGGAAAATAGTATTACAGAAGCATCCAAACTAGATAAAATTCCCAAAATACTATCCTAACTTTAGGACATGATGTGATGAGTACTGTAACCTTCCTTCAGGTCATTAAGAACATATTCTTATCTACAACAATGGGCTGGCAAGCAGAAAAAAGTACTTGAGGTAAAACTACTTGATTAACAATTACACCACAGAACTAAAAAAGACAGTATAAACCGGCATCCTGTGCTGATCACCCTCAGCATGGCCTTACCACTCTGTGTAGTGTAGAAGAGAATGCATGCGCAACTCTACGGAGAAGTGAGCTTGATTTGAAAGGTGATTGGTTTTACTCAATATGTGGTTGATCTAATAATGCTATGGGTGGGTCATTGAGACAAATTACAGATGTGTTAATTGTATCTAACAATTCAGGAACTCTCAAAAACACTGCCAGTTAATACTGATATTAACACAAACAAGTGATAAGCTAAACTAAACTATTATAGACGGTTCTGTTAGGTTCTGCTTTTAATAAGATGATGGAAGTAAAATTGATTCTGTAGGAAGCAGAACCTGGGCAATTTTTGTAAGCCAATGTTGTACACGCCATTGTTAATGAAATTGGTTAACTGGAGTTAAATTAATAATGGAGATCATCTCAGTTGGTGGTTTGATAAAAAAATTAGGGGTCTGGCCCCCCTCCACCGTGGGCTCCAGTGCGACTATTCCTTCATTAGTTACGTCTCTGTACTCGACAGTGGCTTCTTCCGAGTAATCCAGCTTCTCTCTGTGACGCGGAAACTGATTTTGTGGCGCCGTTTTGCCGGCTGTCCAAATACCAAAGACAACAAGACAAGCTGCTCCAGACACCTGCTGAAGCAGCTTCCAGTGGAGGATACATGAGTGTATGCTACCCATGAAGTCTTTTACAGATTTTACAGTGACGTTAATGCACGTACATCAGAGAGGAGGAACAACATGTAGGAGGCCAGCTATGTTTTTCATTCTGTGTTTTGTTTGTATTTATACTGACCGGTTGAAGCACAACATAGGCTGGTTTTGCTTGTGACCAGCTATGCTGGTCTGTGCTGGTTTTCTAGCAGGGTTCAATGGTCAGGACCCCTGACAGAGCAAGTATTATTTGGGTTGTGGGGCAGTCTCAGCATTGTAATGACACTGACAGTCACTGAAGAAAAAAGAATCTTTGGTTCAGTAAGCCTTACAAAATTCAATAGCTTATGCTTTAAATCTGCATTTTTTAGCTTTATATAAAGCAGTGTATCTAATGCAATGATGTAATTATTTTCTGAACTCAGAGAAACATATTGAATAAAAGAATAATTGTGAGTTAATTCAGCATCTACGTAATTCAAGTTCGTTCAAGTTTTTTCAGGATCTATTCTATATTGTTCCTAAGCCATTTTGCACCAGGCAGCCATTTTATGGATCCATAGAGCAAGGAGTTTCAGAGTACTTTGTCAGGCAAGATAACTTTTTTCAGCCTAAAATATGAAGATACACTCATGTGTACAGTTTGCTAGTACTGTATTATATTTGCATTTGGGCCAGTAAGAGATCTACTTAATCATTACCTGCCTCATCAGCTGCTTGGAATAAGGGGAGGACCAATGCAAGTTAAAATAAACTTTTACTAAACAGTCAACAGTTTTTCCTAGTTTGACGATTTGAAACAACAGTGTGCTTTGAATAAGACCAGTAATTCAGTTGGTTGCAATCTGCAACCTCACCGCTAGATGCCACTTTACCTTACACACTCCTCATTTAAATCTTACTGAAATACAGTCAGAAGAAATGTCTGCATCTTAAAGACTGTAG